CTGTTATTGGTATATAGGCATGCTTGTGATTTCTGCACATTGATTTTGTATTCTGAGACTTTGCTGAAGGTGCTTATCAGTTTCAGAAGATTTTGGGCTGAAATGATGGTGTCTTCTGGATATACAGTCATGTCATCTGCAAGTAGAGACAGTTTGACTTCCTCCTTTCCTAATTGAATACCCTTGATTTCTTTTTCTTGCCTGATTGCTCTGGCTAGAATTTCCAATACTATGTTGAATAGGAGTGGTGAGAGGGGGCATCCTTGTCTAGTGCCTGATTTCAAAGGGAATTCTTCCAGCTTTTGCCCGTTCAGTATGATATTGCCTGTAGATTTGTCATATATAGCTTTTACCATTTTAGCATGAAGAGCTGTTGAATTTTATTGGAGGCCTTCTCTGCATCTATCGAGATAACCCTGTGGTTTTTGTCTTTGGTTCCATTTATGTGATGGATTACATTTATGGATTTGCGTGTGTTGAACCAGCCTTGCATTCCTGGGATGAAGCCTCCTTGGTCGTGATGGATAAGCTTCTTGATGTGCTGTTGCAATCTGTTTGCCAGTATTTTATTGAAGATTTTTGCATCAATGTTCATCATGGTTATTGGCATGAAGTTTTCTTTTTTAGTGGAGTCTCTGTGTGGTTTTGGTATCAAGATGATGTTGCTTTCATAAAATGAGTTAGTATTGTTTGATACAGTTTGTATTGTATTGTATCCTTTTGTATTGTTTGATACAGTTTCAGAAGGAATGGAACCAGCTCCTCTTTGTACATCTGCTAGAATTCGGCTGTGAACCCGTCTGGGCCTGGTCTTTTTTTGGTTGGTTGGCTATTGATTGCCGCTTCTATTTTAGCCCTTGTTATTGGTCTATTCAGGGTTTCAACTTCCTCCTGGTTTAGTCTTGGTAGAGTAAAAGTGTCTAGGAATTTATCCATTTCTTTCTGGTTTACTGGTATGTGAGTAGAGCTGTTTGTAGTAATCTCTGAGGGTAGTTTGTATTTCTGTGGGATCAGTGGTGATATCCCCTTTATCATTTTTTATTGCATCTATTTGATTCTTCTCGCTTTTCTTTTTTATTAATCTGGCTAGTGGTCTGTCTGTTTTGTTGATCTTTTCAAAAAACCAGCGGCTGGATTTATTGATTTTTTTGAAGGATTTTTTTGTCTCTATCTCCTTCAGTTCTGCTCTGATCTTAGTTATTTCTTATCTTCTGCTAGCTTTTGAGTTTTTTTTTTTTTTTTTTGATCTTGCTCCTCTAGCTCTTTCAATTTTAATGATAGGGTGTCGATTTTAGATCTTTCCTCTCTTCTCTGGTGGGCATTTATTGCTATAAATTTCCCTCTTGACACTGCTTTAAAAGTGTCCCAGAGATTCTGGTAAGTTGTGTCTTCTTTCTGATTGGTTTCAAAGAACATCTTTATTTCTGCCTTCATTTCATTGTTTATTCAGTCGACACTCAGAAGCAAGTTGTTCAGTTTCCAAGTGGTTGTGTGGGTTTGAGTGTGTTTCTTGATCGTGAGTTCTAGTCTGATTGCGCTGTGGTCTGAGAGACTGTTTGTTATGATTTCCGTTCTTTTGCAGTTGCTGAGGAGTGATTTGTTTCCAATGATGTGGTCAATTTTAGGGTAAGTGCCATGTGGTGCTGAGAAAAATATATATTCTGCCGATTTGGGATGGAGCGTTCTGTATATGTCTATCAGGTCCTCTTGGTCCAGCTCTGCATTCAAGTCCTGGATATCCTTGTTAATTTTCTGTCTCGTTGATCTGTCTGATATTGACAGTGGAGTGTTGAAGTCTACCACTATTATTGGGTGGGAGTCTAAATCTCATTTTAGGTCATTAAGAACTTGCTAAAAGGATTTATGTATCTGGGTGCTCCTGTGTTGGGGGCTTATATGTTTAGGATAGTTAACTCTTCCTGTTGGATTGATCCTTTTACCTTTATATAGTGTCCTTTTTTTTTTTTTTTTTTTTGTCTCTTTTGATCTTTGTTGGTTTGAAGTCCATTTTATCAAGAGACTAGGATTGCAACCCCTGCTTTTCTTTTGTTCTCCATTTGCTTGGTAAATCTTCTTCTATCCCTTTATTTTGAGTCTATGTGTGTCTTTGTATGTGAAATGGGTTTCCTGAATACAGCACACCAATGGATTCTGACTTTTTATCCAGTTTGCCAGTATGTGTCTTTTGATTGGGGCATTTAAGGCCATTTACATTCAGTGTTAATATTGCTGTGTGTGAATTTGATCCTGCCATTTTGTTACTGGCTGGTTTTCTTCCCCATTAGTTGACTCACTTTCTTCATTGCATTTTTGGTCTTTGCCAACTGGTTTGCTTTTGCAGTGACTGGTACTTGTTCCTTTCCGTGCTTAGTGTTTCTTTCTGGAGCTCTTGTAGGGCAGGTCTGGTGGTGACAAAATCTCTCAATAATTGCTTGTCCATAAAGGATTTTATTTCTCCTTCACTTACAAAGCTTAGTTTGGCTGGATATGAGATTTTGGTTTGAAAGTTCTTTTCTTTAAGGATGTTGAATATTGGCCCCCACTCTCTTCTGGCTTGTAAGGTTTCTTCCAAGAGGTGTTCTGTGAGTCTTATTGGCTTCCCTCTGTGGGTGACCTGACCTTTCTTTCTGGCTGCCCTTAGCATTTTTTCCGTCATTTCAACCCTGGTGAATCTGATGATTATGTGCCTTGGGGTTGCTCTTCTTGAGGAATATCTTTGTGGAGTTCTCTGTATTTCTTGAATTTGAAATTTGGACTGCCTTGCTAGGCTTGGGAAGTTCTCCTGGATAATATCCTGGAGTGTATTTTCCAGATGGGTTTCATTCTCCCCATCATATTTGGGTATACTAATCAATGGTAGATTAGATCTTTCCACATAATCCCGTATTTCTTGGAGGCTTTATTCATTTCTTTTCCCTCTTTTTTCTCTTATCTGGTCTTCTCTTTTTATTTCATTGAGTTGATCTTCAGTCTCTGATATCCTTTCTTCTGCTTGATCGATTCGGCTTTTAAAACTTGTGTTTGCTTAATTCATGTAGTTCTCGTGCTGTGTTTTTCAACTCCATCAAGTCGTTTATGTTCTTCTCTAAGCTGGTTATTCTAGTTAGCATTTCATCTAACCTCTTTTCAAGGTTTTTGGTTTCTTTGCATTGAGTTAGAACGTGTTCCTTTAGCTCAGAAAAGTTTATTATCCACCTTCTGAAGCCTGTTTCTGTCAATTTGTTGCACTCCTCTGTCAAGTTGTGATCCCGTGTTGAGGAGTTGTGATCCCTTGAAGGAGAAGAGGTGTTCTGCTCTTTGATGGTTTCATCTTTTTTTTGTGCTGATTTTTTCCCATCTTTGTGGATTTGCTTGGCTGTGGTGTCAGGGAGCTGCTTGATGAGGTTGCTTGTCTGCCTGTGGAGGCGCTACTGGGTTTCTAGGGACTCCTTCAGGTTACTAGGGAAGCTTCCAGTGTCTTTTTTTGTTTATACTGGGAAATTAGGCCGCTGACCTGTAGGTACTGCTGGGTTGTCAAGAATGCCATCCCGTTGCTACGTAGGCTCCCTGTGTTTTTTGTTAAAACATGTAGCCCAGTCCTACCCCTCTAGTGGTGGGGTTGTGCTCTTCCTCCACCGGGCTGGATCATTCAGGGTTTATCTCAGACTGTGGCACTGGCTGCGCAACCCACTAGAGTCAGAGCTTCAGCCCTCTGGGGTTTGTGGAGGAGGGTAGGGACCCGCCCAGCCGCACTCGGCTGTCTCCCCGTTTCAGCTTCCTCTCTCTCCACTCATGGGGTACGGGTCCACCCAGCTGCTCCCGCTTACAGCCTTCTCTCTCTCCGGGCAGAGGGAGGGGGCGATAGCTCAGTCTGCAGGCTCTTATTCAACTCTGTGCTTGTAATTGACTGGCAAAGATCTCCTGTTCTGTGTAATGCTGAGGCTTTGGGGGAAGCACTGTATCTGGACCGCTTTGCCAGAGGGAAGCCTCTGACTCGCTGGTCAGATGCACTTTCTGGCTGAAGCAGCACCCTTCCCCTCCTCGGTCTGCCCTGAGTGGGCTTTGTTCACCATGAGACCAGAGCCGTTGAAATGCACCTGGTACCTCGGTTGGAGCTAGGAGATCTCTGGATTTCTGCATCTCTCTCACTGGGTGTTGTGCGCTGGAGTTGTGTCTAATCGGCCATCTTGGATTTCCCCTCGCCTGGCTAATTTTTTGTGTGTTTTTAGTAGAGACAGGGTTTTGCCATGTTGGTGAGGCTGGTATCGAACTCCTGACCTCAAATGATTTGCCCACCTTGGCTTCCCAAAGTGATGGGATTACAGGCACAAGCTACTGCGCCAGGCCATCAGCGCTATTCATAATGACCAAAAAGTGGAAAGCACTCAAATGTCCATCAGTTGACAAACGGATTAACAAAATGTGGAATGTCCATACAATGGAAAATTATTAAGCCATGAAAAGATACATGCTACTATAGGTAAACCTTGAAAACATTATACTAAGTGCAAGAAACGAGACACAAAAGGTCGTATATTGTGTGCTTTCAATATGAAATAGGCAAATCCATAGAAACATAAGGTAGATTGGTGACTGCCAGGGGATAGTAGGAGTTGGAAATGGAAATGACTGGTAATGGGCATAGGGTTTCTTTTTGTATATAAATGTTCTGGAATTAGATTTATAGTTTCACATCCTGGTCATAGTTTCACAACCCTGTGAATATACTAAAAACCATTGAATTATATACTTTAAAATGAATAATTTTATGACGTGATGATATCTTAACTTAAATTGTTAATACAAAAATAAGCAAAGGTTTACAGCCTTTTTATAGGAAAACACTACACCTACTTTAGTTAAAATATATGTTGCTTTTGAATAACCGTACTTTCTATTCTTTATTTAAAATGTGATTACTTGATTTTTTAATAATTAGCTGATTTTACTGTTCCAGTACTCAATTTTCATCTAAAGGAAGATTTTAATAAAGGAGCATTTCTTTTCTTCTCTCTCAACAGTGTCTACTTCTGCCTCTTTGGAAGAAGCAGTAAACAGTTGGGAATTGCAGTCATTACCTGAGTATCAGTACAAAAAGCCATACTCACCCCTTGATAAGACAAGAGAATTTTCTTCATCACATAATGTCAATCCGTATATTCGTGAGAATGCAAAATTTCAGAAGAAAAGTAGAAACAAAATTAAAACCTTAAGCAATTTATTTTGGGGGAATCATCCCCAAAGAAAACGCAGAGGATATTCAGAAAAGTGTTGTCTTACAGGATGTACAAGAGAAGAACTTAGTATTGCATGTCTTCCATATATTGATTTTAAAAACTTAAAGGAAGAAAGATCATCACTTGTGACTAAGATATACTAACCATCTTAGAAATTATACTAACATAATAAAAGCTTAATACATTTATCTTACTCTTTTTTTATTTTTATTTTTTTTGTAATTGTGGTTGTAAGTGATATGCTGTGAACAGTGTCTGAATATATTTGCAAGCACTTGACCATACCTTATAGTAGTAATAAGAATCTTAGTGTTTTCTTTGGTGACCCTGTTGTTTTCCTTAGTTTTCACAACCTTTTTGAAGGTGATATTTCTGGAGGTGGTGTGATCCATGCAGACATCTAAGAGTTATCTGTTCACTTCTTGTCATTATGGTTGAAACTCTCTTAAGCTACATTTAGTGAATTATGGAACCTTCTGCTTTCCATCTGCATGACACACAAACTGATGCCCATGACTGTTAGGCTTACTCCAAAAGGCCAACCTATCTGTCCCACCAACTTAAAAATAACTAATCAACTACTATTCCTAGTAGAAGCCCTTGTACTATAATAGTAGTTACACTTCTTTTTTTTTTTTTTTTTTTCAAGAAAGAGAAAGAATAAAAAAAGAAAGAAAGAAAAAATGAAGGAGAGGAAGAATGAGGGAGAGGGAGAGGGAGAGAGAACTGGGGTGTTGCTTTATTGCCCGGGCTAGAATGCAGTCTAAAAATGGGTATGCCTGTAATTGTGTTTAGTAATAGAGACATGGAAAAAAAAAATGAGGGAAGAAAATAACTAACAAGCAGCCAACCAATATTTCATTTAAACCTGTAAAGAGGTGTGATGTGGTACTGATAAGAGTGTATATTTTGTATATTTAAAATGGAGAGTTCTATAAATGTTAATTAAGTCTACTTGTTCCCAATCTGAGTTCAAGTCCTGGATATCGATGTTAACTTTCTGTCTCATTGATCTGTCTGATATTGATGTTGAAGTCTCCTACTATTATTGTGTGGGAGTCTAAGTCTCTTTATAAGTCTTACATATCTGGGTATTCCTGTATTGGGTGTGTATATATTTAGGATCTTTAGCTCTTCTTGTTACATTGATCCTTTTATCATTATGTAATATCCTTCTTTGCTTCTTTTGATCTTTGTTGCTTAAAAGTCTATTTTATCAGCGAAAATTGCAACTCCTGCTTTCTATTTATTATTTTTGCTCTCCATTTGGTTGGTAAATTTTTCTCCATCCCTTTGTTTTGAGTCTTTGTGTATCCTTGCATGTGAGATGGGTCTGGATGTAGCATACCAATGGGTCTTAGAAGTCTAGTTACGCTTCTAATTCCTTGAATTTTATTAGTTTCTCTTCACAATTTCTACTGAGGACTTAAAATAGAATTTAGTGAATCTAAACTAAAATCTCTGCAAGATACCCTGTCTTTACTCTGAAGGTACTGATATAATGTGAGTCAACATATAATTCTCAATATTTGATTGAGAAATCTGTAGAAAAGATTCTTAAAGCATAGTCCCTGACCAAACCAGCAGCATCAGCATCATGTGAGAACGTGTTAGAAATGCAGTCCTAAGGTCTCACACCAGACCTACTGAATCAGAAACTCTAGGTATGGGGGCCAACAATCTGTGTTTATAAGCCTTCTAGGTTATTCTGAAGTAGGTTAAAGATCAAGAACCACTGGTAATAGAGTTACTGTATGAATATTGTTGAAGTTTTTCTATTCAAGTGGTGCATATCTCAACTCAATGTAGATGTTACAGTACTAAATTTTTGGTGTTTTTTTCCCTGTCAACACATGACATAATTTTAGTACTATGAATTAGAGCAAGATGTAACCCAGTGAACCCAAAATGGAATTTCTACTTTGTACCCATTAATTTGTGGCTAAGTAGCATTTGAGATCTTTCTCTAGTTTCTTTCCCAAACATGTGCTGTAATGTTCTTTTTAATTGTTTATTTCTATTTGGCTTCATTACTTCTTACAACAAAGGTTCTTTTCCACTTATATCTATGTCATATATACTTTCAGTGCATTAATAAATATTGTTGATTTTTTTCATCAGTTTCAGGGTACAGTCTGCAATTATCTGTCAATATAGGGAGCTACCCATGTAGATACAAAATGACAGCTTATATTATGGTTCAGTAGTGGAGTAGGTCTGCTAAGCATTAGATGAAAATGCTCCATTTATTGAGAATTATCTATGCTTTGGCTAAAATACAGCCATGTACACAATCCAGTTTGAAATGGTATACATCTGTACTTGTGGTTGAAGAATAAAGCGCAGCTTGTTAGCTTACTTATTATAAACACACATCAGAAGTCCCATATAGAAAATCATGATATTAACCAAGTGTGTTACTTGCATAGCTGTATACTTCCCTACCCACTTTTTAATAATTTGTATGTTAGGTTGTATTTAGTTTGCTTTTTGGTTTAAGTCTGCCTTCTAATATTTAAAATTGCACTAACGATGTGGTACATTTTGATAGAACACTCACATTTATTTTATAGATTCCTTAGAGGAAACCCAAATTGGAAAAAAAAAAAAAAAAAAAGAAATCTGAGATACCTTAATATTAAGCAACTTACTGAGGCTCCATGTTAAGTTACTTGCTAGTTAGTGGTAGAACTGGATCAAGATTTTAATACTAACATCTTGTTCAGTACTACTGATGTCAATAAAATCATAAGTAGAAATTGCCCTTTTTTTTTGAGACAGGGTCTGTTGCCCAGGCTGGAGTACAGTAATGTGATCACAGCTCACTACTGCCTCAGCCTCCTGGGCTCAAGTGATTCTTCCATCTCAGACTCCTGAGTAGCTGGGACTACAGGTGCATGCCACTACACCTGGATAATTTTAAATATTTTTTTGTGGAGACATAGTCTTGCTGTGTTGCTCAGGCTGGTCTCTGGGGTCCTGGCCCCAAGTAATCCTCCTGCCTTGGCCTCCCAAAGTGCTGGGATTATCTTCATAATTTCTTGTCTGGATTGTTTGCTGTTGGCACATAGAAATGGTTTTTGTCTATTGATTTTGTATCCTCCAACTTTACTGAATTTGTTTATGAGTTCTAATAGTGGTTTTTTTTTTTTTTTGGAGTCTTTAAACATTTTTCCAAATACAGTATCACCTGTAAATAAGGATGGTTTTACTTCTTCCTTTCCAATTTGGATGTCCTTTGTTTCTTTCTCTTAGCTGAGTGCTCTAGCTTGGACTTCTAGTACTATGTTCAATAAAAGTTGTGAAAGTAGACAACCTTGTCAGGTTCCAGATAATAAAGGAAAGGTTTTCAGTTTTTCCCTATTCCTTATTCTGCATCCCTATTGAGTATATCTTAATTCAGTACGATACTAGCTCTGGGTCTGTCATATATGACTTTCATTATGTTGAGGTATGTTCCTTCTATACTCAATTTTTTTAGGGTTTTTAGCATGAGGTGTTTTTATTTTTAGCAAATGCTTTTTGAGCATCATTTGAAATTATCATATGGTTTTTGTCCATCATTCTGTTGCTGTATCACAATGATTGATTTGCAAATGTTGAACCATTCTTGTATTCCTGGGATAAATACTCCTTGGTTATGATGATTTTTTAAATGTGTTGTTGTGTTTGGCTTACTAGTATTTTGTTGAGGTTGTTTGCATTCGTGTTCATCAGAGATACTGGCTTGTAGTTTTCATTTTTTGATGTGCCTTTATTTGGTTTTGGTATCAGAGTAATATTGGTCTCATAGAATGAGTTTGGAAGTATTCTATATCTACTTTTTGGATTAGTTTGAGGAGAATTGGATTAGTTTTTCTTTAAATGTTAAAATCAGCAGAGAAACCATTGGTCCCTGAGCCTTTCTTTGAAGAGTTTTTATTATAGCTTCGATGATATTACATGTTACTGGTCTATTCACAAGTTTTGGATTTCTTCGTGTCTTAATCTTGGTAAGCTGTATGTGTATAGGAATGTATCCATTTCTTGTAGGTCTCCCAATTTATTGGCATATAGTTGCTTATTGTAGCCTCTGATGATCCTTTGAATTTCTTTTTTCTAAGTTAGTCTTGCTAAAGGTTTGTCAGATTTTTTTGGCTTTTAAAAGCCAACTTGTTTCATTGATCTTTTGTTTCTTTTCAATTCCATTTATGTATACTATGGTGTTTCTTTTTTTCTATTAGCTTTGGGTTTGGCTTGCTCTTGCCTTTCTAGTTTTTTAAGATATATCATTAAGTTGTTCATTTAAAGTTTTCCTTTTTTGATGTAGGCACTTCACTTTTAGCTATATTGCTTTTGTTATTGCTTTCTAGCTTTATTTCATTGTGGTCAGAGAAGACATATTATTTAAATTTTTTTGGAATGTTTTAAGATTTGTTTTGTGACCTACCTACCTTTTTTTTTTTTTTTTTTTTTTGTAAACACAGAGTTTCACTCTTGTTGCCCAGGCTGGAGTGCAGTGGTGCGATCTTGGCTCACTGCAACCTCCACCTCCTGGGTTCAAGTGATTCTCCTGCCTCAGCCTCCTGAATAGCTGGGATTACAGGCACCTACCACCATGCCTGGCTAATTTTTGTATTTTTTGTAGAGACGGGGTTTCACCATGTTGGCCAGGCTGGTTTCAAACTCCTGACCTAGGTGATGTCCCCACCCTTGCCTCCCAAAGTGCTGGGATTACAGGTGTGAGCCACTATTCCCCGGGCACATGTGGTCTATTCTTGAGGATGATCCACATGCTGAGGAAAAGAATGTATTATGTAGCTGTTGGATGAAATGTCCTGTAAATACCTATTAGGTTCGTTTGTTCTATAGTGCAGATTATGTCCATTGTTTCTTTGTTGATTTTCTGTCTGGATGACCTGTCCAGTGCTGAAAGTGGGGTGTTGAAGTCTTGAGGTTTTAATGTATTGGGGTCTCTCTCATTAGCTCTAACAGCGTTTGCTTTATACATCTGGGTGATGCAGTGTTTGATACATACATATTTATAATTGTTATATCTTCTTACTGAATTGACTCCTTTAATATTATATAATAATCTTGTCTCTTTTTATAGTTTTTGTCTTGAAACCTAATTTGTCTGCTACTCCTGCTTGTTTTTGGTTTCCACTGGCATGGAGTATCTTTTTCTGTTCCATTATTTTGAGTCTAT